TACCCGATTTTAGCAAAAAACCCTAACTAGCTGCTTGCTGTGATATCCCCATTAGGTGGCAGCCAGTCTTCCTTTCTATCCCCAATAAACGGAGCCGTGGAACCCATGCAGGGACATAACTGGCAATTTAGAAGACTGCTACCTTTGTGGGTTCTGGAGCCCTATTGTAAGGGGGGGGGGGAGGGAAATAGATCTGCAGCCTCCATAACAAGCATGTAATAAAAGGCTGTTAATTAGGGGTGTTTACTTCAAAATTGAAGCGTGTCTGCCTGAGATGAAAAAGAACTAACATTCTGCAAAACAAATAAGCCACATTTGAAAATAGAAGTGCACAGGAAACTGAAATTCTGATACAAAAACTTGAAAAAAAAACACACAACTTTGAACCAGAATTTAAAGATGAAGGAAGAGTTGAGTCTATTGCGAACAGAGGAAATAGAGTGTGAAGGTGAAGGAAGAATAGAGTCTATTGTGAACAGAGGAAATAGAGTGTGAAGGTGAAGGAAGAATAGAGTCTATTGCAAACAGAGGAAATAGAGTGTGAAGGCTGATACAGAAAGAAAACACTGGATGAGCTGTTAGAGTAGCATGGAGGACTTAAGTAGGAATAAAGAAAACAAGGAGCTTTTGATGGTACAACTGCAAGGTTGCTCAGAATGGCAATAAAGAAAAAAGAGAAAGATGAAGAGAGAGAGAGAGAGAGAGAGAGAGAGAGAGAGAGAGAGAGAGAGAGAGAGAGAGAGAGAGTCAGAGACAGAGAGACAGCATGAACAAATTTTATTTTCAAAAGGTCAAGAATTGGGCGTGCAGGCCTGCCTCACATTTAGACATTCTAAAGACTCATCTTTCGAACAGCAATTGTTAATCGCAAGAGAGGGAGAGAGAAAGGGACAGAGAGGGACAGAGAGAGACAGAGAGAGTGAGGGACAGAAAGATAGAGAGAGAGAAAGAGAGAGAGAGGAAAAAAGAGACAGAGAGGATGTGTGTGTGTGTGTGTTATATATGTGTGTATTATAACATAACAACCAAATAATAAAGCACATTACGCTCTGAAGTAGCAGAGGAAAGAAAATAAGAGGAAGTGAGACACACTGTCCACAGATACATACAAGAACAGACCTGTACATGATGCAGGTTTCTGAATTATTATAGGCACCTC